ATTGTCATAAGAACATAAGAACGTAAGAGACGCCAATGTTGGATCAGGCCAAAGGCCCATCCAGTCCAACACTCTGTATCACACAGTGGCCAGAAATACCAGTGCCGTCAGGAGGTCCACCAGTGGGGCCAGGACATTAGAAGCCCTCTCACCGTTGACCACACCCAATTGTCCCGACGACAGGATGCCCTTGGCCCCCCCCGCCACTGGCTGGGGCTCTGTTGATGCCCGAAGACCCCTCTCTGGCCCCCCGCATACCTACCTGGAGCATCGCCAAGCGGATCTGGCCCCGCCGCGGCATTGCCGTGACAACCCCACTTGCACCCCTTTGGAGCCACTCCCGTTAGAGCACATGCGTGCGCGCGCACACACACACATTGCCTTGACCAAAAGTAATCCCCCTCCTTCCAGCAATGTCTGTGCTTGTAATTAGTAACCTAGTTATGATGTGAGTCACGGGGGGAGTTCATCCTTTGCTGTGTTTAACAGGTGAAAATTAGTTCCGTGTGTTCTGCCCGTGAAGCTTGTATCTGGTTAAGCCTTTCGAATGTGGGTTGCTTTTCACTTTCTTTAGGAGGCATACAGAGAGGAGCAGCTCATCAACCGGCTGATGCGGCAGTCTCAGCAGGAGCGGAGAATCGCTGTGCAGCTGATGCACGTGCGGCACGAGAAGGAAGTGTTGTGGCAGAACAGAATCTACAGAGAGAAACAGTTTGAGGAAAGGCGCCTGAAAGAATTCCAAGAAGCCCTCGACAGAGAGGCAGTAAGTGCTTGTCTATCTTCTTCCTTCCTTTTCTTGTTTTTTTCCCAAAGGCTACTTTGCCTGTGTGTTATAATCACAAGTGGAATGTGTTTATCCCTTTTAAAAAAAAAATGGGGGATGCTTTTTAACTTTTTTAAAAAAATAATTTTTATTGAAAATTGTAAAAATTAAAACAATCGGAACATCGATATAAGGGTTATAACCAATGCTCCCTCTAAGCTGTGGAGTCTTGTGAGCAGAAATCCTACTTTGTGAGCTACCGGCATTAAAGTTGTGAGCGAGCCATTTGGCTGCTGCATAAATTAGTTTGCTCTGGAGCCATCCTTCCTGAGCTAAGGCGAAAATGTGTGAGCCGGAGGCTAAAAAACTGTGAGCTAGCTCACACTAACTCAGCTTAGAGGGGTTATAACCAATGTTCCCTTTAAGCTGTGGAGTCTTGTGAGCAAGAATTCCACTTTGTGAGCTACTGGCATTAAAGTTGTGAGCAAGCGATTTGGCTACTGCATAAATTAATTTGTTCTGGAGCCCTCCTTCCTGAGCTAAGACAAAAATGTGTGAGCCGGAGGCTAAAGAACTGTGAGTTAGCTCACACTAACTCAGCTTAGAGGGAACTCTGGTTATAACAATAATACAATATTACACCAACAGCACCTTAAGAAAACAGTATTTAAACGACCTGTAAGCAATAATCATTTATTTATTTATTTATTTATTGAATTTGATTGATATCCTGCCCATTCCTGCCAGGCAGGCTCAGGGCGACTTACATTAAAAGAATAAAATACATTAAAACACAAATGGTAAACATCATAAAACTCACAGACAAGCAGTTAAAGTGCTGGTGGCAGTATAACATTTCCTAGTGATCCCATAGGCCGAGGTAAAGAAGGTACCAAGGGAGTAAGGCCAGAGTCAGTTACCAGTGTGTCACAGGTGTTTAGTGATAGCATGAAGGGCCTTACTACAGTTCAGTTGCTGTTGTTGTTGGTAGCGGCTCCTAGTTGAAGGCCTGGTGGAAGAGCTCCGTTTTCAAGGCCCTGCGGAACTGTCAAAGGCCCCGCAGTGCCATGATGTCTTCTGGGAGCTCATTCCACTTGTATCATACAAAATATGTATCATAATCATATAAAACAAACACAACTATTACCAATTATAGGGAAAGGCAGTCTAAATAACATATCTGTAGAGCCTAAATGAAAACGAGAATATAGAAGAATGTGATGATAGAACTTCTATTCCACATCAGAGAAGAGACAATATATAGTGGTACCGATGTTCCAGACCATAATTTTTCAACTTCCGATCCTGAGCTGTGAAATCCAATGCATTTATTCCGACATTGATATGGTTCTAAAGATTTCCAAAAGCATGGAGATAAAAGGTCTCACCTGTTGCCAGAGAAGCTATGGTCGCCAGCACACTTCAAATGCTCAGAGACGTTTGGTGCTGGGAAGGGTCTTCGCAAGACAGGATCTTCCAGACGTTAGCGTCCCTAAGATTTTTGAACAGGATTGCCCCTTTATCAGAACTTCACAGGCCTGACAAGAACGTTACCTTGTTGTCCTCTTGCCAGAACTGGAGGATGCAAAGCCAGAACAAAAAACAATGACAGCGCAATGTTGAGCGAGCCATTTGGTTACTGCATAAATTAGTTTGCTCTGGAGCCATCCTTCCTGAGCGAAGACAAAAATGTGTGAGTCAGAGGCTAAAAAACTGTGAGCTAGCTCACACTAACTCAGCTTAGAGGGAACACTGGTGACAGCCAAGCCTCTTTGGCAGCTCACATTGAGGCATGAACCATCATAGTACATGCATGTGCACTGAGGCTTTACATGGGGAAGGTAGCTGCATTGAAGTGTAGGGTGTGTCTGTGTGCTATGAATGCACTTGTGTTGGGCTGACTTCCCCTTAACAAAGGGATGTGTGGAAGTTACTACTGCAGTTTTTGCAGCGTGGGTTCTGTGAGGCTGCCTTCGGTGTGTGTCTAGGTTTCTTGTTTGGTGCCCCCCACTTTATGATAAGATGTGTAGACCTCCTGACGGGGGGGGGGGGATGGCTGAAGGAGTGCTAGTTAGCAAAGCTAGATTAGGGAAATCCCAAAATTTCAAATTATGTCCTTGCTGCCCCTTGCAGAGCTTCCTTCTTCTTGTTAGATTAGACAGTTAAGGTTCTCTTCTGTGTTCCATAGTTTGTTCTCCTTTAATAAACCTACTTATTTTTCTCTAAACAGTCAGTGCTCCACTTCCCTTGCTTATTTAAACTCTGCCAACACTTTTGTGGGTCACTGCTATGGGGGGGACGGGACGCACAGATCCTCATGCTCCTCGTGGCCCGGGGCTGCTGGGAGCAGGGGGCGGGGCTTGTTGCATGTGCCTGCCCCCTGGGTTCTTTACTGCCGGAGCTCCGCTCCTGCAGGAAATGACCCCTGCTAGTGCCAGAGCCAAACGTTGTTGCTCTGAAGTAAAGTATCTTCTTCAAATACTCACTTCTTTAGTGAGTCGAGAAAGTTCATCCCCTGCCACAAATGTTGTTAGTCTTTGGCTGCGGTCACACGAACTAAATAATCCACTTTCAACCCACTTTCAATGCACTTTCCAACTGGATTTTGCCAGTTCACTCAGTAAAATCCAGTTGGGAAGTGCACTGAAAGTGGATTGAAAATGGATTATTTAGTGTGTGTGAACGCAGCCTTTAAGGTGCTACCAGACTCTTGCTGTTTCCTGCCGCTACAGCAGACTAACATGGCTACCCATCTTGATCCCGCTCCTGTTAATTAACAACCTTCCATCTCTTCCCAGGACACTTCTAAGCAGGCTACCCCACTTGAATCTAACATCTAGAGGGCAAGGTCTAGGAAACCAGATTCTAGGGTACGCTAAGAGTGCCATCCTAAGCAAAGTTACACCCTTCTCAGTCTATTGAAGTCTGTTGAAGTCACTGTGCTTAAAGGGTGTCACTCTGCTTAGGGCTGTGCCGTCAGAGCCAAACTATATGCTCCCTTTTTTCACATGTTCCCCGCAGAAACACAGCAGCTGTGGGGAACTACTTTGTAAAAAGAGAGAGAGAGAAAGAGCACAGATGGGCTTGGAATGGCACCGTGGGGGGACTCCTGCCTCCTCCTCCAAGCAGTTTTCTAGCTGACTTTGGTTTTCCATGTGAAGTATCTGTGCAGAAAAAACTCCCCCTCCCCTGCACAGTTTTTGTGTGAGAAAGCTGCGGGGGGGTGTTCTTCTGTCCCCCACAGCACCATTCTGAGCTCATTTGACCTCTTCCTTAAAAAAACCAAAAAGCAGTTGTCGCACAGCAGCTGTGGAAATGCATGAAAACCCGTGAGGAAAAAGTAATGTAGCCTGGCTCTCCATCTGTAGGCAGGAGAGAGTGCATTTTCTCCGTGGAAAAATGTACACTGCACACGGTCAGGGACATGTTCATGTTGCCTAGATTTAAACAAAAGCCAACTTCACTGTTGGAAGTGGGGGGTGAGGAGCTCCGAGAGGAGCTAGATGCAACAGGCCAGAATATTTAAGAATGAAATATAGCAACATGATGCAGAACAGTGTTCCCCACCCCCCTACGTCTCTGCATTCAAGGTGTCCAGTTGCTGTGTTGATGAATCTCCCAGCGAACCTCTGCACCTGCTGCAAGGATTCTGGGGCATATGCAAGAGTGTACACATAAGAACATAAGAGACGCTGATGTTGGATCAGGCCAAAGGCCCATCCCGTCCAACACTCTGTGTCACACAGTGGCCAGAAATACCAGGGCCATCAGGAGGTCCACCAGTGGGGCGCTGGTCAGACCTTCTGGGTCTCACCGTAACTCTGCGTGGATTGAGCATGCCCCTGAGAACATACCAGATGCCCCCCAGCAGCTCTGAAGTTTAAAGGCAGGCGGAAGGCTTGATTTGTTACCATTCATGTCATGGAGGAACCTTAAGCGGCCTGAAAACAGCCTTTAGTCTTCCTGGAAAGCTGTTTTGCAAACCTCTGCTTTAGACCAGGTAAGTGTGGCAGAGAGCAAGCTGCCTCCGGAGCACAGCAGTCCACAATCTTTGAAGAAGGGACACAAGGCTTTATAGGAGGACGCACACATGGCCAAACCTCCCTGGTTTAATTTACATCCTCAAAGTGCCAACACCTGTACCTTTCTGTTCTGGTTTCTGGTGTACTAGTGCCCAGGGGTCATTTCGTAGAAAAAGAGGTGCAGGAGCTCATTAGCATAACTCATTAGCATAACTTATTTGCATATGCCACACCCCCTGACATCACCGGAAGTGTGTCAGAAGGCAACACCCACCGCTCAGGCTCCACTGGACGGTTTTGGATTGCTAGCTATGGGGGGGACGGGACGCACAGATCCTCATGCTCCTCGTGGCCCGGGGCTGCTGGGAGCAGGGGGCGGGGCTTGTTGCATGTGCCTGCCCCCTGGGTTCTTTACTGCCGGAGCTCCGCTCCTGTGCGCTCCTGCAGGAAATGACCCCTGCTAGTGCCAGAGCCAAACGTTGTTGCTCTGAAGTAAAGTATCTTCAACTGTGCAAAGTGAAAAAAAATGTAAAAGAAATGGGATCTGATACAATGAGAAATTTATGACTGTGGCACACCCTGTTTGCTTAACACACACAAAAGACTGGATGAAGTCGCCGGCTGCGATGGAGTCCCAGGCATGCAGGCTTTGGAAACTGTGCATGGACCTCTTGACCACTAGAGGTCAATATTGTACTGTAACTTGGCATGTCAGAAAGGATGGCCAGACTCCGTGGACGTTTGGGAGGAGGCTGTGGCTCCGTGGTAGAGCATCTGCTTGGCATGCCGAAGGTCCCAGTTTCAGTCCCTGGCATCTCCAGTTAAAATAAGCGGGTGGCAGGGATGTGAAAGATCCCCACTTGAGACACTGGAGAGCTACTGCCGGACAGAGTAGACAATGCTGACCATGATAGACCAAAGATCTGACTAAGTATGTGTTCATGTATGTTTCTTCAGTAGATAGGGTCCACCAATATGCTGTATCTTGTTGGTTAAAAGCTCCAAGCTGGGATCAGCTAGAGAAAGAATTGTGAAAATGAGGACATAAGGAAGTTGCAGGGTAGGAGTGGCCGTATAAAGGGATACGACCAGGGGTCATTTCGTAGAAAAAGAGCTAGGGGAACTCATTAGCATAACTCATTAGCATATGCCACACCCCCTGACATCACCGGAAGTGTGTCATACCGGGCCCCATGAGGGGCCCGGCGGTGGACCTCCAAGGCCGGCGGGAGTGCTAGGAAGCCCCGCGAAGGCCCTCCCTGGCCCCAGGCAGGCAGGGGTGGGGAGAGGCAGGGAGGAAGCAACTTACCCTCCCTCTTCTCCTGCCTCCTCCTGGCTGAATGAGGGCCGGAAGCGGGGCGGCCGGAAGCAGGGGGCGGGGCTTCGTCATGTGCCCCACCCCCCGCACCTCACCCGGGGGAACTGCGTTCCCCCCCCAAAATGACCTCTGGATACGACACATGCTGAAAAGTCTAGGAAATACTAAACATGGCCCAATTGCTTGGTACCACATAATAAAATAGACCCAAATAATGAAATTATATATTCATATATTGTACGATAATACAACATAACTATTGGGGGGAAGGTTTGCCTTTGAAGGTCCTTGACAATGGTGCTTGTACCTTTATATGGTACAAGACATGAACCAAGATTGCAGCCATTGAATCTCCTGTTGTTCCGCCAGTCCTCTTAAGCCCGTCTCCTTCTGCCTCGTGCCATTAGCTCCACAATACAAGGGGGAAGACCAAGGTCATGAAGGCGGATGGAGACGCAACCCAGGAAGCTGCAGCTTCACTCGGTGACTTTGGAATATTTTCGAGTCTGGGCATCATCTCTGAATGAAGACCACACTACATTGCTGGAAAGACCAAACCAAAGGCATGAACAAATGAAGCCGGAGCTACAGGCCATATGGCAAACAGTGGGCTCCTGAACTTATAACATGCCTGGCAGTGCTGTTAAAGCATAAACAGACATGTGCAGGAGAAAAGACCCAGGGATTTCACGTGATCATACACATGAAGGTGCCTTATATTGAATCAGAACATCAGTCCATCAAGGTCAGTGTTGTGTACTTAGACTGGCAGCGGTTCTCCAGGTTCTCAGGTAGAGGTCTTTCACATCACTGACGGGCAGTAGGTTCAGGATGGACGAAAGGAGATACTACTTTACACAGAGAATGATTAAAATGTGGAATTCGCTGCCAGAGATTATAGTGATGGTCGCAGGAATAAACAGCCTGAAAAGCGGATTAGATAGATTCATGGAGGATAAGTCTCATCAATGGCTACTAGCCATGGTGACTGCAGGGAACCTCCACATTCAGAGGTACTAATCCTCTGAATCCCAGAGCCAGGAGGCAACATCAGGGGAAGGCCTCGGACTCTATGCCCTGTTGTTGGCCGTCCAGATGAACTGGTTGGCCGCTGTGTGAGACAGGATGCTGGATTAGATGGACCACTGCTCTGATCCTGCAGGGCCCTTATTATGTTCTTGTCGCCTATTGCCTGGCCCTTTTAAGTGGAGATGCTGGGAACTGAACCTGGGGCCTTCTGCATAAAGCAGCAGGGAAGCCAGGGTGATGCTCAGCATTTCCCTACCCCCCCCCCACCAGGGGAAAAGCAATCTGGGGTGAAGATGTGCTTGGGGGAGCACTCTCTGCCCAACAATTCTCCCCTGCAGACACGAGTTTGGAGGCATATATTCGCCAAGGTAACATGTTGCTTTGGCTTGAAGATACAGTTTATGTGAAATTACACTAATTTGGTATGTATGGTGGGGAGGGAACAGATGTCAAATCTGAGTGACAAGGTTTTGCTGTACTAAGTATTTAGATTTGAGTTCAGTATTAACAAGGGCTTTTTTTGGTTTTGTTGCTAACTCAAGTTACTTGACCGTCAATGTAAAGAAAAAGACAAAAAAACCCAACCCTTCTCTAAAAACAATTCCTTCTAGGCTCTTGCAAAACAAGAGAAAATTGAGCTTGAGGATGAAGCCCTCAAAGAGAAACAGCTGCATGCCAAACTTGCCGCTGAAAGAGCAGAGGCTCGCTATAAGAAGCATTATTCTATTTGTTGGGAAGTGGTTGAACAAATCATTGATTTAGCGACCAAAATAGGAGAGTACCGAATGCTGACGAACAAGTAAGTGGTTTTAACTTTCCTCCGTTTAGCGCACGCACAGACACACACAAAGTTACTTTTCTGAAGTTGCAGGAATAGCCTTCCCTTAAATGTGGTCTTTGCGGTGGAGACAAAACAGCAAAGCAGGGACAGGTGGAAGAAACAGCAACCAAATCCAGATTCTTCTCATTTCTTTATATACTTTGTTTATACCCCGCTTTCCTTCCCAGTGGGGACCCAAAGTCCCCTACGTTGCTCTCTGTTTTATCCTCAGAACAACCCTGCGAGGTAGGGTAGGCTGAGAGTGTGTAACTGGGCCAAGGTCACCCAGCATGATTCTGTGGCAAAGTGGGAGGTTGAACCTGGGGTCTCCCAGATCCTAGTCTGACACTCTTAACCACTGCAACCACACAGACTTCCTTCTGACCCCTTCCCGATCAGCCAGGAGGCATGCATTGATCAATTTCACTGCTGTCATGCTAGTTTCAAGAGGGATCCATTCCACTCCAATACTTGAACTGCAGCTCTGTGCAAAAGATGAAATAAGCATAGGGGCACAGTGGAGGCCTCTTAGAATCATAGAATCCCAGAGTTGGAAGGGGCCATACAGGTTACCTAGTCCAACCCCCTGCTCAGTGCAGGATCAGCCTAGAGCCTCCCCGGCAAGGGTTTGTCCAGCCGCTGCGTAAAGACTGCCTGCCAGGGAGGGGGAGCTCACCACTTCCCAAGGCAGCTGATTCCACTGCTGAACAACTCTGTCTGTAAAAAAGTTTTCCCTCATATCCAGCTGGTACTTTCCCGCCCTTAATTTCAACCCGTGATTGCAAGTCGTCTTCTCCTCTGCTGCCAACAAGAACAGCTCCTTGCCCTCGTCTAAGTGGCAGCCCTTCAAGTACTTCAAGGGAGCAATCGTGTCCCTCCTCCTCAGCCTCCTCTTCTCCAGGCTAAACATTCCCAGGTCCCTCAGCCTTTCCTCATAGGACTTGGTCTCCAGGCCCCCGATCATCCTTGTCGTCCTCCTCTGCCCCATTTCATTGTCTGGCGAAGTGTGCGTGCACACAAAAGCTCACACCTTGAATAAAACTTTGGACTCTAACTTTGTTCTCCTCTGCACCCGCTCTATTCCTTCCATATCCTTTTCGAAGTGAGGCCTCCAGAGCTGCACACAATATCTCTTCTCTTCCCCCGCTTCTTGGTGTGGGAGGCCAGTGCTTACTTTCCTTGCAACGCTGGTTGTCTGAGTGCCTCTTGTTGAAAGGACCAGCTATGGCACAGGGCCGGGCTTTTCCCATAACCACCCTTGTCTTGCGGACTAGTTTACCAGAGATGGCAAGGAAAGGTATCTGTGCAGTCTCATCAGAAGCACAGGGTTGGATCCAGTGCTAAAGTCCTGTTTGCACCAGAGCTGTAGTGGAAGCGGAAACACAAGAAAAAGACCACGGGTGCCTATTGTCTCTCTGCTTGCATTTCCAACGGGTAAGATCTTGGGCAAACAACTTCTAGGCAGTACAATATACAGGGAGGAAAGCGCTGTGTGTTGCACAAGATTCTGCACAAACGGAACTGCGCCAAGTCCATTTGTGTTTCCACTTGTGCATTGGTGGCTCTAAGCCGTAGTGAGGCGGAACTGTCCAAAAGAACCTTGAGAGATTAGGAATATATTTTTATTAATGGATGTAGGCTGGCAGGCTGCCTCTGTTGGTTGTTCGTGGTGGCTAATTGGCTTTGTTCACCACTTTTATGTCCTGTGTGCAGGATAGAAATATTTTAAACACACGAACGAAAATAGATATCCTGTCTAGCCAAGTAGTCCAGGCCATGCACACAGATTACCCGGGTTTTAGAGTAGGAGTCAGGCTAGCCCAATGTCGTCAGGTCGCAGACGCTAAGCAGAGTCGGCCCTGGCTAGTATTTGGATGGGAGACCTTATGCTTGAACCTTATGCTGATTCTCCTCAATGCGCAGCTTCCCCTGCATCGAGCAGGATTTTGCCCTTCATTAGGAGTGCTTGAATGCACCATGTGGATTTCTTCTTGGGATGGTCAGTTTGGTGTAGTGGTTTGGAGCCCAGACTCTAATCTGGGCAAACCGAGTTTGATTCCCCACTCCTCCACATGCAGCTGCTGGTGTGACCTTGGGTCAGTCGCAAGTTCTCTCACAGCTGTTCTCTCATGGCCAGTTCTCGAGAGAGAGCACTCTTAACCCCAACTCCCTCGGGAAGGGGAAGGAGACTGCAAGCCGCTCTGAGACTCCTTCGGGTAGTGAAGGGTGGAGTATAAATCCAATCTCCCCCTCCTCCTCTTCCTCTTTGTCTTCTTCGTCTTCTTCTTCGTAATCAAGCGCAAGTTCTTCCAAAAAGCATGATGGGCAATGGTCCACATTCCAGATGATGTCGTTAGGCACTCTTGTTGAGGTGATACTTTTGTTGCTGAGAAGTTAGTTTCAAGTGGGTCACCTTGTTGGTCTGGGGAAGATGATCTAGAATTGAGTCCAGTAGCACTTTAGAAACCAACAAGATTTTCAGGGTAGAAGCTCAAACCAAGGGAGTCAAGCAAAGGGAGTCTGAGGAAGGGACCGTTGATTCTCGAATTCAGGGTTCTTTTTGTAGCAGGAACTCCTTTGCATATTAGGTGACACACCCCTAATGTAGCCAATCCTCCAAGAGCTTATAGTAGACCCTGTAAGAAGAGCTCTGTAAGCTCTTGGAGGATTGGCTACATTAGGGGGGTGTGGCCTAATATGCAAAGGAGTTCCTGCTACAAAAAGAGCCCTGCCGGAAAGCTTATACTCTGAAAATCTTGTTGGTCCCTAAGGTGCCACTGGACTCGAACCTAGCTCTTTTGTTTCCAAGTGTTTCATTTAACCAGGTGAGCTGGGGGTATCTTTCCCAGCTGTGTGCTAGCTTCGGCCAATTTGGATCTCATGTTGAACACAACACTTGAAGAATTGGGCTGACGTGGATGTGGTTACTGTACAAAATGCAGTTGTGGGACCTGAGCCTCTCCAGCTTTCAGAATGATCGCTTCTACAAAAGCTGACAGGGCAATATTTCATAGCTTTCCTGCGCCTCTTGGTTGTTGCAGGGATCCTTTTCACCAGCCTTGCACGGGGGACATGGGCATAATGCTCTGAAGGTGTATTTTCTGAATGGGGATCAGACACAGCAGTTGACCAGCAAGTATTGTCAAACTGTAACTGTTTCTTCAAAAGGATGGAGTCCCTGTGTAAAATAAAAGCTTTATGGAATCAATGGAACTTGCATATAGCTGAGGATTGGAGACAGCTCTGTGCTGTATGTGAAAAATCCAGCCCAGTTTTCGTATTTCTAATTTAAATTATTTTCTATCCCATCTTTCCACTACGCAAGACTCCAAGGCAGGTATCATATACATGGTTTAAAAAACAAACTGAAGCTGAAATCTGTAGTATGAATGGGAATATAATGATTTTAATTTTCAGATTATTCATATTTCTCTGGTTTTATAGATTGTTTGGTGTAGTGGTTAAGTGTGTGGACTCTACTCTGGGAGAAATGGGTTTGATTCTCCACTCCTCCACTTGCAGCTGCTGGATGACCTTGGGCAAGCCATAGTTCTGATAAGAATTGTCTTTGAAAGGGCAGTTCTTTTTTTTCTCAGCCCCACCTACCTCACAGGGTGTGGGGAGGGGAAGGGAAAGGAGACTCCAAGTGAAGGGCGGGGTATAAATCCAATCTCCTCCTCCTCCTCCTCCTTCTAAGATTTTATTAGGATGTAATGAAAGCCGATTAAATAGTAGGCCTTTCCCTTGTAGGTTAGAGTATCTTTCTAGCTGATGCTAGCAGACAGAAAATAACATTCTTTTGATATAGAAGACAGGTATAGAGTTTATGGTTTTTAGTTGTTTAGGGTAAAACTTTGCAGTGTCTGGGTCAAAAGGGATTTTAGCTTCATATCAAAAAAAGAACACTTTTGTTTGAGTATGAAGAATCCTTGACCAATATTATTCAGGTTAAGTAAATTAAACATCCAAGATATTCTGTAGGTACACCTTTCTTCATATTTGACCAATGAGTGGACTATTACTCAAATGATGCATTGTTCTTTGTAGCCATTTATGACCTCTGAATATTATCTTCTTGACTATGTCACTCCAAGTATAAAATTTCATGTATTTCCTGATTGTGTTCAGAAAGCAGTCAATTTTTTATAGGCTAAGTTTGGCCTAACTTTTGAGGTGTTTTAATTGCAATTAAAATCAATGAACATTCCTCCTCATTTTGACTTCTCTTTTTGACTGGAGATCTATGTGTATAACAAATCTAAAATAGATTAAAATAATTCTAAAGCAGGCATGATAGCAGAATTAAACAGCTGGGCAGCTGCCAAACCACCTGTCTCCAGGAGCTCCTCCCAATACGCCAGGTGTGCTTGAGCCCAAAACAGAATAGAGGCCAAACTCATATGCCAGGAGACACAGTTTCATCACCTGGGTGCCACCACTGGGGAATGGTTCAGATGTAACACCAAACGATACTTTGGTATTCCATGAACAAAGCCGGTGTCAGCTTTCATTCCCGTACTTACCCCGTATAAAGTCAAATATTGCCTTCCACTCCGGCACAAAACTATAGCTTGCCATTTTTATCTGAACTGGCAAACAAAGGTTTGTACTTTGCCTCAAGTCCACAGCATGGCTGTTGGACTGTGAAGGCAGAATCTCAGTTGTTACTGCTTTGACCGTGCATTTTGGGGGGAGTATTTATTCATTGGGCCTTAGGTCGGAACAGCAAGAGCATGTTCATCAGCCCAGTTACCTATCTCTGGAAGTGGGCGATAGCTGGGACTAGGCCACCAGGGATAACCTCCGCAAGTGGGCACGCCCAGCTGGGAGAAGACAGTAATTCACATACCTTAGACCTAGGCTGTTTTCATGGACTCACAGAATCACAGAGCTGGAAGGGGCCACACAGGCCATCTAGTCCAACCTCCCTGCTCAATGCAGGATCAGATTAGAGCATCCCTGACAAGTGTCCATCCAGCCGCTGCTTAAAGACCGCCAGTGTGGGGGAGCTCACCACCTCCCGAGGCAGCTGATTCCACCATTGAACAACTCTTACTGTAAAAAAGGTTTTCCTAAGTTCCAGCCGGTACCTTCCCGCCCTTTGAACTCAGGTATTTTATTGTTGCTATTAATATTATTATTTGACTTCAGAAAAATTGCAGATGTATTTGTCCTACACGGAAAAATGTACTCTGCACTGTATGCATGTTTCCAAGCGGAAGAACTTGTTTTCTGTAAATTCCCCGCTCTTGCAAAAGCATCAGAGACGAAATGAATGGCTCATTCAGTCACAGGCTGATACTGGCATTCGGACCGTTTTTGTTTTAAATCTGATTTGCTTTTTACCCCATTCATTGGTGCAGGAGGTTCCAGATGTGGTCCAAACACACAGAGGATCCTCCTCAGGATCCTCCCACCTCAGCATTTATGTGGATACGTGTGCTTATGCACACTGCTTGTTTTCTAAAGTGAGAGGTGCTGGGGTTCAAACCTCCTTGGAAAGCACCCCTTATGACCTGAATGTCTTCCTTGGGGGGGGGTCTGATTGACCATGTTATTTCCTCCACTACTGTGAAGCACAGATGACGCTTTATTTTCTGTTTTCTGTTATTGTTTTTCTATAGATATATCCATACTAAAGATCTGTGTTGGTTTTGTATCAGTTTAACTGGTGCAGCTTCCTCAAAAAGATTCCTGGAAGTAGTGACTTGAGCGATCTTTGTTATTGACACACACACACACACCGAACTGTGTCTAGTAACACAGTTTAAGTCTAGAATGTTAAGGTGCCCTGGTTCTAGAATGTTGAGAACTTTAAATATCAACACCAGCTCTGTGAACTGGACTTAGAGAGAGAGTCAAGTTGGTGCACTATTAGAAATGTATGCTCCCTTTACTAGACACTAGTTAATAACCTCGCAGCCATATTTTGGACCTGTTGAAATGTCTGAGTCTCTTAAAATCCCTTACATAAAATTCAGTTGATCCTTCTCCATCAGCAGTTTGACAATTAAAACCCCTCCTTCTTTTTTCTTCCCCATTGCAGTTCTTCCTGTCAAACAGTACCTGAGTCCTTGATAAGTTCTGGTCCTGATGATGATGAAGAAGAAGAAGAAGAGGAGATTGGATTTATACCCACCCTTCACTCCGAGTCTCAGAGCGGCTTACAAACTCCTTTCCCTTCCCCTCCCCACAACAGACACCCTGTGAGGTAGGCGGGGCTGAGAGAGCTCTTTCCAGAGCTGTCCTTGAAGAGAACAGCTGTGACAGAACTATGGCTTGCCCAAGGTCATCCAGCAGCTGCAAGTGGAGGAGTGGGGAATCAAACCCGGTTCTCCCAGATTAGAGTCCACGCACTTAACCACTGCACTTAACTAATGCACTTAACCATGCACTTAACCAATGGCTGGAAAGGCTCCATATGATGTCACACAGAGAAGGTGTACAGGGGGTGGGATTTGTAGTCCAAAAAAGGAACCAGAGCCAATTGAGCAGGACAGGACATAGATCAGGCAGGAGAACTAACTGATTTTATTGGGGGACAGTCTGGGGGCATTTTTCAGTGATGCGTTTCCTGTTATGCAGCAAGCCATGGAGCTGCATATCTGGAATCAGTGCAGCACTGGCTGTCCTTGATCACCTGACCACCAAGGATTTTGCACAGCCATGTCTGTTGCCTGGCCAGATATGCCTACAGTTTCCGCCTCCGGCCCAGTGGCCATGGTGGCAGACAGTATAGGGAAGAGGTGCTGAGCCTGCAGGTCTTTTGTCTTGAGCATTCTACTGTTCTATGCTTCCGTGGTCTGTAACTGTCTTTTAAAGCAGTCTGTTTCCACAGACCGTGAGGGTGTTCCCCACTTTTTAAGGCGTCTGAGAAGCTGG